ATTCATAAAAAACTTTATGTTGCAGTATTATTTGGAGAAAAATAAGAACTACTCTTTCGCCGCAACGATTCAAATGTCATACCATTTAACTTTTATCGTTTTCGCTTCACGGTGAATCATTTAATGAAATTCTTTCTCTTCTGTGTCAATTCAATCCGTTAACATGCAATATATTTACAAAACAATTTGTCGACTTTGCAAACCGAAATCGGTGCGTATATTCAATTGAAATAATAACATATAAACAATCGAAAAGAAAGAAAGTGTAAAGATTGCACGATAATGCCACAGTGTGCAAATTATATCGTGCGCTGAACGCCACTTAAATATATTTAATGAACTCTTTATTTTTGGTTTTTTTTTTCTGTTTCTGTTTCAAAATTGCAATTCATTTCGATTGAATTTCACTTGCTGAACTATTCAACAACAGTCCAAAGGCGAATAAAACGCAATCGCCTCGACGCAACAAATGAAAACAAATTATATATATTGCATGGTCAAGGATTTGCGTTTACAAATTCGATGCAATCGAATCAATCGTGTGTGCAATAGCTCAAAGACTAAACAAAAATCGAATGCACACAATGTTCTTGTTATCGAAATAATGACAGCAAAAAATATAAAATATTTTATATGACATTTAATCATTTATAATTGTGCAGTCGCACATTCAAAGCATCTCTCTTTCGTTTTGCTTGGTTTGTGCGAAACAACAACAATCTGAGAGAGATAGAGAGAGAGAGAGAGAGAGAGAGAGAGAGAGAGAGAGAGAGAGAGCGCAAAAATCATCAGCCGAAAAGAAATATATGAATGATCAAATAAAGCAGTCATGTATTATCACGTCAATTGTGTTCGGCTGAAGTGTAATTGCAATTCAGAGAGACAGGAATTTGTAGGTCTGTATGCCACATCACATAACAATATAGAGCGAAAGACCCGACAACACACAATAATAACGAATAAATGTGGCAATGCAAATAAAACACATCAGCTTATAAAATGGTTACAATAAAAGATAAGAATATGAAAACAGAGAGAAGGAGAGGGGAAGAGGCATCTCACGAGTCATTGCACACAATTATTCAGATAATAAAAATAAAAATAAGGAACAAAAAAAAGACGATAAGTGTTGAATCGGCTCTAAAATCGTTTTGTTACCTTTTGTTTGTGTCACTCTTCCTCCTCGTCGTTGTTCACCGAACTATGTACATTTTTTTATATGAGCGTCTCGCGTTCGGCGAACGAGAAAAAAAAGAATGAGACAAAGCGGGAAAAAAGCGAAAAAAGGCGGTTGGTCTGGTACAAAATTCCACACGATTGATATTCGTTTGTCAGCAATTTCGAAAACCGATCACGACAACGATTTTTTTCGCACTCATTCGACTAATTGCTTTGTTGCTAGATTGTTTACATTTTTGACCGTTCTTTGAATATTTCTTTTGGATTTTTTCCATCGAATTTTCTTACATTTTTGGTGGCAAGAAAAAACCGTGTTGAAACTTAACAACATAGAGTGCGTCAAATGCTTGTATTATCAAACGAACACGCACTGGGAATTTGACCCAATCATCATACAACATTCTATATTCAATTTACGGAAACATTTAATTCAATTGACGAATAATTTCCATTTGAAATGGACTCTGAACGGAAAACGGCCTTTTCGCAGCACATTTTTTCTTTTTCTCACATTCTATAAATGAATAAAACACGAATTCTATCAATCAATATCATTCAATCCGAATGTTATTTATTTCATGTGTTTTTGTTCTGTTTCTTTTTAGGTATAGCCAGAGCTTGTGAAGGGCACGAAACAAGAGCGCATTCATACGAAACTTGTTGAACTTAAACAAGCCAAAGTTACGTTGATAATTGATAAAAAAATAATTAAAGAACGAAAGTTTACACAGACATACACACACACACACAAAACAATAAAACAATAATAAAGTGAGTCTTCCAACGATTGAACAAATAAAATCCACAAGTGTATTATAATTTTAATTAACAATTACATAATATTACCTCCTTCAATAAAAAAAGCTATAAAAAGAGTCAAACATACCCCATTAACCCCACAATAGATAAAAATAAGAATTAAATTTAGGATTACTTAAAAATAAAAAGGAAAACAAAACATACGTATCTAATAGACAATAAAACGTAGCTGAGTGGATAATTTCTTTTGTTCACATTCGTTTGGTCAAAACAACAGAATCGATATTGAAAAAAGCCGAAAGCGAAACTCTTTCGTTTCATTGATTATTGTTTTTTTTTTGTTTTCAAATTTTTCAAAAGTGATCGAATCAACTGTTGATTAGTGTTGTTTGTTTTTACAAGTTCGAAAGGTGTGAAAGAGTCCTGTGGTGTCAGTGGTCATAAAAAATAGTACGAGCGATTCGAAGACGATTTTGTTGTGAAGTGTGCGTGTAAAACAACGACGACAACGGCGATAACGTTGTAAGCAGCAAAGAGGTTCGAAAACGTTGAAAGAAAACGAAAAAACAATGTCACCATCACCGCCGAATAATGGCACAGCTTTTGATGATAAACCGGAAACGGGCAATCGATACAACGACAGTATCCGCAATGAAGAACCATATGAGCAGCAGCAGCAACAACAACATCATCACCAACGCAAACAATTGGACTGGGAAGGTCCGCCAGCTCAAGGCCTTTATGATCCGGTGAACGAGCATGAAGCATGCGGTGTCGGTTTCATTGTTGCTATTGATGGAAAACGAAGCCATAAGGTATTCTTTTCGACAATTTTTATACCGAACGAACGTCGCCATTTTTTTTATTTCCGCGAAAATGTTATTATGTTCCATCAAATGTACAACTACATTGTTTGTTGCGCTGAAATCGAAATTGAATCAAGTGCCACATTTCAATTCGCCTACACACACATGGGGAGATTATGAAAATCCTTAAATTGACTTTGAATTATGTAACGATTCCATTTTGCAGTATTCAAAACTTCATAAGTAAAAATGGTGTATGTCCACTGAAAATTGCAAATACAAATGCAAAATTAACATCTGCTACTATTCACTAACCCTTTTTTGTGTTTTTTTTTTTCGTTTCAATTATTTTAATATATAATTTTAACCCGTTATTTCGTATGTACCTGTTTGATATAGATTTTGCGTGATGCACAAAAATTATCGTCCCGTATGAATCATCGTGGTGCGTGCGCATGTGATAATGACACGGGTGACGGTGCTGGTGTTCTTTCGGCCATCCCCCATGAACTCTACAGGAAGGAATGGTATGTATACATTTCGATCAAATTCAATTGTGCCTTTATTTTGTTCGTGCGTCTCACTCCCAATTCAATTAAAGTCAATTTTTTGTAACCATATAGCGTCTTATTAATAGAATGTTTTTGTTAAAAGCAAATTAGAACATACATTACAAAAATATCCGGACAATTGTTATCAAGCGTCGCACAAATAAAACAATTTTACGATGAATATTTGTAAGAGTAAGAGTTGACGTGAGAACGAAGAAAGAGAGAAACATGACAAATGATTTCCACTTGAGAGTGTGTCGGCATTTATATCCTCGTCGATTCGATTATCCTTAGCGTTTGGTAAATGTGTGCGCATACGCTCATGCACGCACTTGTACATTTCCGACAAATAAAAGCATTAGTGAAATCATATGGCGTCGTGTAATTGATCATAATTTACTTTGAGCGCAATTCAATCGAACCATCCATTACCCTTGTGAAAAAAACATATTGACCATGTGATTAATATTTGGATGAGCATTTTTCATCATCTTCAACAGTCGACTATTTTCGGAAAGATTTGGTATCTCGTATTCTCTGTCCACTCACAGAATTTTTCCACATAAATTTTAATATTTTTAAGGACACAAGGATCGATAAATTCGGATAAAAGGTCGAAGGAAAAATGGAGGTATCTTTTTCGAGAACGAAATTCGTTTGATAAATCATGACGGAAGACATTTTGCACACGGGATGTTATTGGCCATGACTCTTATTGTGCACATTAGACACGTAAAGTACCAGTGCCGATCCTTATGAGCTTGAACGCCGTCAATCGACAAAGAGAGACAAAAAAAAAACAAGTGAAAAAGTCAAAGAAAATTACATGAAAGAAGGCAATAATTGAAATGTTATTTTAATTCAAATCGAAAGCACCGTGGTTTTTTCTCCACTAAAGTGAAGAACTATTTGCGATTTGTCTTCGTTTTTCCTCATTCTTATATCGTCATGCATTTATAATTAAAGTTGATAAATCACAATATTGATTCAGCGATAAGTGTTGCAACGTTTATTCAACCTCGTTGAATTCTCTTTTTTTTCTTAATTCAAATTGAGTGACTCTCACTCAGCAAAGTGACTTTGTTTTAAGAAAATAAACTTTTTCTGATTAGATTTAATTTAAATGAAATAGAATCGTTTAAACAAAATAATGCTGAATAATCATGATGTTATAACATCTTCAATCACCACATGCTCGCCCATATAAAAGTATTATCGCAAATAAATCAACTCTTCAGCGAATAAATATTATTATTATTTAAGACAATTTGTTTAATGGCTTTCACACGCTTTATTTTCGTGTCATTTCTTCCTCGTCTCTGACGTCTGCATTCCCATAAAACACAAGCGACTCATTTTATTGTTATTTTTTTATACGCTTGAAGAAAAATGAAATGGAATTTTCCATAATCGAAACACGAATACTTTTTATTGATAAAATGTACCAAATGGAATTGTAATTAACGATTGAGATATGAGTTTTTGTGAGTTGGCACATAATTTAAATGATTTTTTTTCCTCTTTAAAAGGAGTACTTGATAGGTTGTGCAATGATTCACACCGGCTATATAAAAAAACAGCACGACAAGCGCGAACAAACATGTGTCGTCAATTTGAAATAACGTGAATTAAAACGATTAAAATGTACACAGTGACAAAGGCACTTCTTTCGCAATTGATATTCTTCGTAGGCGAATTGAGTGCGTCGTTCAATTCACTTGGCTACACTTGGCCACGACTGATTAGAGAACTGTAATTCTATGCCGTGTTACACCACGGAAGACAAAATCATACCTTTATCTGCCGTCGGCAGTAAACCAAACAAAATGTAAACAGCAATAACAATGAAGGAACAATTGAAAAAAATGGTACCCAACACAGCTCTCATTGTGTGCGCGCGTGACATGTGCCACATATTTTCACATTTGAAATGTTATAAAATTGCACCGCTCCGGAAATATAAATGAATTCAAGTGACATTTTTGCACATTTTTTTCTTCTTTGATCACACATTTTCTCTATTTTGCTCTTTCGGCATTCAAGTGACATTTTCTTTGCCCTCGTCCGGAATGACTTTAAATAGAGAAAATTATAAGTATTTGCAACAATTAAAGGAGGATTGTGATGAAATGATAAGCTAGACGCAGATTTAGTACGTTTAAAATTAATTACGAAAATTATATGACTCGAGCAATCACACACACAAGGATGATTCGCTCAATTTTTGATGTTACTCGCGATTGAATAAAAAAATGTACTTTTTCAAATAGAACAACACAAAATGGAGAATATGAAGAAAAAAACCATTGAAATGCGAATTTTTCAATGACATTTTCCAATAAATCATGTTCTATACAAAGTGAAAATTTCTTGCGTTTGATCAACAATTATTTCGTATTTTGTAATTCGTTTAGAAATGGCGTGACTCGATCACATTTACGCAAGAATCGACTAGAATCACATTGCATTTTTCAATGTTAAGAGTCAGATTATTTTGTTAAATAATGCGAATGGCTTATCAAAAAGTGTGATTAGCGTAGTATCCATAAAATGTCTAGACTTTGCACTAAGAATTTGTTATTACATATTTTCTTGTATGACATCGAAGTGCATTTTATGATACACCAATTTTTTTTTCGTTATCATTGATAATCCCACGAAAAAGGTTGAGCAAAGAACACGATATCTCAAAACCACATGATTCCCCAAGTTCAATTTGTGTAGTGTTGAATGAAATCAAATGGAAAATTACCACCTCCTTTGACCAGAATTTGGTTAGCCTGAGAAACGGCAAAAAACAACATCGAAACCTAGGAAATGTACAATTGATGTGGCTTCGAGTCAAAAGTGCGCAAATCTAATTGGCTGACATTTCAAATATAAACAATTGGTATTGTTTACATTATAAGCATATCAGTTGATGACGCTCGCCTATAAATAAACTGAAAGTTTTGTGAATTAATCAATCAAAATCAAGTCGAAAATGAAAACAAAACACACCATACTGCCAACGACGTCGAAATAAGATTGTCAATTAAAACGACAAGCTGTTCAGTTGTGTCTTGCGCGCACACACACATGATTTTTACTGATTGAAAACTCGTCGCTTCTGCAGCTCTAATGATCTAACTTTTTAGCACACAACTGTTTCGCTTTTTTGCTTCTCCTCAATCGATTTGCGTCGTTGCTACTGATACAAAGGTGTCGTTTGGTTTTTGAATTGCAAAGCTAATCGAAATCGTTAACTTATCGCTAAAATTCACACTTCTTATCGTTTGAAGAAGCAAATCATTTAACTAATCAATGAAATCTAATGCACTTAAGGACTTGAGGCCGTGAATGTTCTTTTTTTTGTTCCCTTTATGAACCGAGTCTATTTATAGAGTCGATTATATAATATGTCGAGCTACTGTTATCTGAAAACGTTCATTGAATTCGTTCTTCAATCACAAAAAATTCGGGATGAATTCACAGATGATATTTGTTGTTATGATTCGTTTCCAAAATTTTCAAACTGCACCAACGTCGAATAATAATAACGAAAACACAAACGAATGACTCTATTGAATAATTATGAAACTCACACAAAATGTTATCAACATAGTTGTTATTGCTGGCGTGTTTTTTTTCTTTGGACCGCACTATGCTCTCACGCAAAATTTTATTTACGCCATCAACAATTTTGATGCGTATTTAATTGTTATCTGCTGTGATTTATTATTGAAATTGAAAAATAAAATGTTTAAAATCATTTGCACAGATTTAGTTGACGTCATAACAGGAACGGTGCGTGCTTGTTAATGTGTAAGAAAGCAGAAACAAGGAAACAGAAAGAGCAAACAAAGAAAACAAGTGAACATGAAAGTGGAAAAAAAAGAATAATTTTACATTTTGTTCACGTGTATCGTGAATGCACTTGGTATTTTTTTAACACACGATTAGATGACTCGAAACACAAATTTATTTATTTATTTATTTGAATTTTAAAGTCTACTTAAAAAAGCCGACTATACAGTGTTGCATTATTAGTTTTTACATTATTTATTAGAGAGATTTATATGAAATCAAACTCAACATAGATAAAGTGCTAAAGCGATGACAATCGGACCTTGTTAATTAGAAACATTTGTTGTTATTCACTACGAATTCACCGGGACATATAATGGAAGAGAATATCTACCGGGGGTCTCGAAGAGTCCTAACCCGAACAACCGACCTACAAACTTCCGCATCCGGTACGAGGATATTTCGTGTCTGGTGGTCCTCCCGGGACCATATATTCAGACCTCAAGCCGATTTCAACCCCCATTTTGCGATCTCTGCTAATCTCACTTAGCTTGATTCACAAATAGCAACTATCAAAACCAAACCTCAGGAGAATCATACAACAAAAAAGAAATAATTCAAATCCTATAACCCTTTAATGCATCATACACGGTCATTTCGAAAAATTTGATAGCTAAAAAAGGTCATCACTTTTTTGTGTAAAAGCCCTAGCAAATCAAAAGAAATACTCTCGCTCGGCAAGCTAAATTTGAATTGTGACTATAAAATGGATCATAAACAACCGATTAAATATAATTGCTCACGAGTGCGTGGCTCCATCGATCAATGGTTTTTTTTTCGAAAGAGACACAAATATTAATACGAAATCGGCTCTAAAACATAAATGTCCTCTTATTCATAACATTAAATATTTGATTGATGTTTACCAAACGGGCAGTAAATCAACAAGCTATTCAAAATCTTTAAATAATGATAATACATTTATTATTCAACCATTCGACCCCCCATTGTCATATTGCGATTATGTGTTTTCTTTCTGTATCGCTACAAATATTTGGTTTGTATTACAAAATATGCGCGCTTCATCATCTTATCAAATGTATGTACGTCACTTCAAATTGTATTTTTGAGTGTTGGAACAAAGAAAAAAGGCCCTGAAATTGAAACTTCTTTCTATACCCCAAGCGGTATTACGTATAATATTTGATGCATTAACATAAAGTAAAGCTGTATTCATTAAAATCGTACGTATTTTAATTAAAATTTAATGAGATGAATCATTAATTGAGTTTGCTCGGGTTTGTTTTGTTATTTTGGCGCAAAAAACATGGCCAAACAGTGCTTATATAATCATGTAACAAGCAAATAAAAGCGACAAAAAACTATTTGCACAAAACAGAGCGCCGATTTTGCGTATTTTTAGAAATTTACGGTTGTTGATTTCGTATTTAAATGTTTACACAAAACGAAATGCACTTCAAATCAAGTCAATAATAAAAAAAATCGTACTGCGAACGTATTCCTTCGGCAAACCGAAATCGAAAACGCAAACAAAATACATATCAATTGTGCCAAAAGTTCTGGCTATTCAACCATGTCTCTGATTTGCAACTCAACTATTATAATATATCACAAAACGAGTTAAATTTGTCGTTTTCATTTTGATTCACGAACATTACATATTGCACAAATTAATGTACAATACAACAGATGATATAAACATAAACAAGCTTTGACGAAAAGTTCACGTTTTCAATTCAAATAAAAAAATCGAAATGCATTTTTTTTTCATGGTGAAACATTGTATTCGAGCTGCAAAAATGTCATTGACATTTATTTACTGTATTGAATTAGCTAAAAGTATTCAATCATAACAAATAAAAGAAAACTTACACGACTTTTTATGAAGTTATGCTTAAGAACAAAGTTAACAAACAAAGAACGAATGCGTGCATATTTAATGTTTGATTCATGGAATTTTGAAAATCAATAAACAAATTGCAGTAAAAAACATTGAACATGTTTCTATTGAAATGAATAATGTTTCTCGGATAGAATGAAATACTGAAGAGGAGTAGAACGTGAAGTCCTTTGACATTGAGGACGAATCTAGAGGCAAATGACTATATAGAACATACAGAAAGTTATACAAAGCCAATAAAATTGCCAATCCAGTACTTGTGAAATTTATTTGTCATTTTTATGACTAATTTGGATACTGGCTTATTATTAAATATCAAAACCGGCTCTTTCAAGAATGAAATCCACGTTGCCACGTATTTTTTTCGATTTTTTCACCAAAAAATCTTTCGACAATAATTCAATAAAAACTGCTCACACAAATGTGAACCTCAAGATCTTCTTAAATTTCCGGAAAATGCTTGAATGGGTGCTTTGGCCCTCAAGGTGAAGAATGTTTTTGCAAAAAAAATCATTTTGCGAACATTCTTCTCTCGAATATTTTGCGAGGCGATAACTATATGACCAATAAAAAGGAGCACACTGACTCGGTTTCTATGTATCCATATGTTTTGCAAATTCTGCACTCAATTGTCGATCGTAGCTGCTTGTGCAAAGTTTAAAATACATACGTACACACCGAACCGGAGTCAGTGTGCCACTGTGTATTGCACGGTAGTTCGCTACTCAGAGAAATTGAACAGTGTGAACATGAATGTGTTCACTGTATTCCTCCCATTTACACTGAAGTTGTTTCTTCCCAGTGTGAATCTTCATTTTACACTTTGTTTTTGCAAGTTCTGTGTAAAATGATTTTGCGTGAAAAAAACTATTTTTTTTAAATTATTAAATTTTTTTCATGTTTTTATTTTATTTTTACTTGTACTAAAAATGTGAATACCGTGATTACCAAATGTCAAATTGATATCGGTAATAAAGATTTCAAGTTTTTTCCATTTCGTTTTAACATTCACCATTTCGAAATTTATTTTAATTTTTTCTGTTTTCTTTCTGTTATTTTTATCAAAATAGTTTTTGCATTTGTTAAACCAATTGAAATACTACACTTAATAGCGTTGAAGAAGTTTTTTTAATATTTGGAAGATAATATTCATATATGCACATTGTGAGACGTTGCTGAATGCATTGACATTTCGTCTAAAACTGAGAATACCAAGAATACCAAGAATACTTTCAATTTCGGAGAATATCTCAAGTAATATTCCATGTGTCTACCCCCTAGAATTCAACAAAGTAATATTTAAAAATAGTATCAGCTAAAATTGTGTTCATCACTTCACATAAAAAAAGAGACAACAACAAAAACGTCATCTTCAACCGAAGAATGTCAGAACTTTTAAATTTTCGTATTTACATTGCAATTGACAAGAGGGAGGGAAGAGAAAAAAAACTTTCTCGATTACACACAGACTGTGTGATAATAAATGTTAAGATGTTCGATTTGTTTCTCTATGTTTGATTAGAACTTGTTCGTCAGTTTTGTTGTTTCAACAACAACAATGACGAAAAATTCATATCAAATTTAAATATTTGCCTAAAGCAAACCGAAAAAATGCCATGTTATACAAAATATTCTATTGCGCACATTTGTTAGATCGCCTCACTAATCGACGACTATCAGAATGCTAGTGAAATCACACAAATCCGAAAAAAAAATGTTTTGAACGAGTCAGATCGATGCGATTGAAATACATTCTAAGACGCAAAATACTAAATCGCTTTCGTTCATCGGTTTTAATCTCTATGAATGAAAATTGAAACAAAAAGCGAATACAAATTTTCAAATTGATCTCATTCTCAATCAATGAACCGAATCTCATTAGAGAGAACCATATGTCGCTGTTGCAACTCTTGCATATTAATGAATATTTAATACCGAAATAGAAACAAAAATATATATATATATTAAAAAAGCAATGGTGCAAAGGTTCTTTATCAATTGACAAATATACATTGTTGCAATATTATTTCATATTTTATTTTTTTTTTTTTTTCTAATCACAAAAAAAAAAATAATAATATTGAATTTTTATGACTTTAGCCTCTTAATTATGCAAAAATTTTGCGCACTTCTGTATTTGCCATTGTATGCATACAAATTGATCGTTCCAAAGAGTAAAATCGATCATTAATTTTTATTGTCGCTCTGTTTTTGGTTTCATTTCGACAACGGCACACCATTTCAACCGGTTTATTTAGATTTCACAAAAATCGGTTATCGTTTGCGCGTCAAAAATAAACGACCAAAAAATATCCGCCGAAGATTTATTATGCACGAATGAATACATAAAAAGTCTGTTGACTTCTTTTCATTAGTGTTTCACATCATTTTCGCCGGCACACATTTTTTGGCAGTGTACAAAAATAGCTCAAACGACAGTTTTTTTTTATTTTTCTCGTTCTCTCTGTCTTGCCTGGGTACGTATGCCTGTTCTCAGCAAGCACACATTTTTGGCGTTTCTTTTTTAGTCGCCGTTCTGGGTTCAAAGTGCAATATTTTCGTTATCAAATCGGAGCTTTGCTTACACTTATCAACGCATAACGAATTGAGGTCTATTTTTATATCGAAATTGAAGCGTCGTTGTCGAATAAAAAAAATCTTGTCTGCGCTGCATTCACCCAAACATTTTAATGACTCACTGTGCAATTACACGTTTATAATATGTACAGTTTTTTTTTTGGATTATTCGGAGCATTTCCGCTGGGAACATTATTTTTTCACTTCGTTCGAACTGAGTTGCTCATTTGATTGCCCCAAAAATAGTCTCGATGGAGGTTTAGTTCTTTAATTTTGTGAAAGAAAAAAAATGCACGGCGACATGATGATCTCTTTCCTTAATATTTCTATTCGGTTCGATCGAAATAAAGTTTTGTTACTTACGACAGATATGAATTCATGAAATGTATACCAAAATTGAGATAGGGATGACTAGAGTTTCAGCAATATATTGAATTTAAAAAAAAACTTCACGTACACGGAATTGAACAAAGAAACATTAGAATTCATTGTGATGTATCGATAAAATCGAAAAACAAGTTTCATCGCACACTTGGACCCTGTTACAAGAAAAAAAGAAGCAAGTTGAATGCAAATGCGACAAATCACTTGAATAAAATCAATGAGTTTTGGTTTGAATTACTCCATGTCGTTTTCATTTTACATAGTTTAACTGTGACAAATGCAATCAGAGTCTTGTGTTCGCATCGTGTAGTTTGAAAAGAGAAAAAGAAGAAGAAGAAGAATAGGAAGAAAAAAATTAATGTGAGTCAAGATGTAAGTGTGGTACTTTGTAGCGGTGCCATAAACACACACTCGTTTGCATTGTATTTTTAGAATTCTCTACAGTATTTGTGTGCGTTTATGTTTTATTTCGTTCAAAATAATTTATTATTTTCGTTTGGCTATTTTTGCACGTTCAAATTCCAACCTTTATGGATTTTGCGTCTCTGTATTACAACTTGTTGAATGGCGTACGGTTGCGAATGCGAAAACTCGAAAGTCACTTCAGTTTACATTGTGTTTAGTTAGTGCGATAATAAAATGTAACAAAGTACTAATTGTTTGAAATGTTTGCATTTCACTTTTCTTTCCATGATCATCTTTTAGTGCCAAGGAGAAAATAACGTTACCAGAACCGGAAAAATATGCAACTGGTATCATTTACTTGGACGAGAGTACGCATGAAGAAATTGAAAAGGAATTCGAAGCATTGGCCACAAATGTTGGATTAACAGTGTTGGGATGGCGTACAGTGCCCACAGATAGTTCGGCAATTGGTCGTGTTGCGCGCAAAAGTGAACCATTATCACGTCAAGTGTTTTTATGCTCACCGACCGCATTAACCGATGCTGAATTTCTGCGAGCCGTATTTGTGCTACGAAAGCGTGCCACCCACGAGATAAGCCACGATAGACGACGCTTTTACATCTGTTCATTATCGCATCGTGTTATTGTTTACAAAGGTCTATTTACATCCGATCAATTGTGGAACTATTACATCGATTTATTGAATCCGGAATTTGATTCGTATTTGGCATTGGTGCACACACGTTTCAGTACAAATACGTTTCCATCATGGGAACGGGCGCATCCATTGCGTGTACTTGCCCACAATGGTGAAATAAATACGCTACGCGGTAATGTGAATTCAATGACAGCACGTGAAGGTGTTATGTCAAGTAGTGCATATGGTGATGAATTAAAAAATTTATTTCCGGTTGTTGAGCCGGGCCTATCCGATTCCGGTTCGGCCGATTGTGTATTGGAATTTTTAACGATGGCCGGCGAACGATCAATGCCCGAAGCCGTAATGACCATGTTTCCAGAAGCATGGCAAAATGATCGAACAATGCAACAAGAGAAACGTGACTATTATCAATGGGCGGCATGTGTAATGGAACCATGGGATGGACCGGCATTAGTATCATTCACCGATGGACGTTATATTGGTGCTGTGCTCGATCGAAACGGTTTACGTCCATCACGTTTTTACATTACCAAAGATAATATATTGGTAATGGCATCGGAAGTTGGCGTTTATGATGTACATCCAGAAAATGTTGTGCTTAAAAGTCGTTTGAAACCAGGACGCATGCTGTTGGTTGATACACAAGAAAAACTATTCATTCAAGATGTTGAACTTAAATCGAAAATTGCCAAATCACGACCACATTCCGATTGGTTAAAGGCAAAGGTACGAACATTTTAACATAAACGAAAAAAAAATGCAATTTAATTCTTCCCTGAGCGTTCAATTCGTATACAGACAAATCACATTCGATTTTCATTCATATATGTATTTAAATATATACAAATATATTCATAATACCATTTAATCGGATGCTCGATTGTCATTTTGTTGGAATGCTGTATATTTCATAGTTTATGGGAGAAAATGATCATTTTTCATTTTGGAATTTATCATCTCATTTTTAGATAACCATATTTTAGTATATACTATAGTACGAATAGTGCAAGAAAGTATTTTTGTACGTTTCATATTACTAAATGTGGTTCAATTTGATGTTTATTATGAGTAATTTGAAGAAAGAGAAAAAATATCAATTTTATACATTCATCTAGTGTTATAAGATTAGCACGTGATAAATTAACATTGATGATTACATTCCTATCAAGTGATCAATATTGCCAAAAATACTTGGAGCATTGTACAGATGCGATATATTTTCATCCGGCCGAACTATCTCATTTGACTGGACTGAGTCGCCATTTGTATGTGAGTGAAGGGTAGAGGCACTGAAAACAACTTCATAAGGCCAAAAAAGTCATTTTCAACACTGCTCTTGTTCTATGTCATACAAATAGTGGCCGAGCTAAGCCAGATGAGATAGATCAGCTGGTTGAAAATATCTCAGTATATCAGGCCAAAAAAAAACTCGAATACCGTCGCTGTTTTACAATGAACTCTTTACATCTGAAAAGTTCGCTGTCACCAAGCTAACGTCACACATTTCAACGTCAACTACTTTGCGTTCAAGAAAACATATTATTTTATTGAATATTTTGTTTATTTTTCTGCCATTTGATTGTATGATTTTTTCTCTTCTCATTTTCTCGAAAAAATAATAATTTTTATTTCGATTTTTTGTTTGTCTATCAATATTCAATTAATTTTAAAACATTTACATTTTCTTATTCATTGGCATTCAATTATTGTGGCACGATGGAATTTTATCACACAGTCGGTAAGTTATACAATACAAGAACGATAGGAAATATCATCCGTGTATTTTTCGATGGTTTCTTCTTTTTATACCAAATTTTTTTTTGTTTATGCATAATACTTTTATTTATTTTCTTGCCATTATTTCCATACTCATTTGCATGCGTTAAGAGTGCACAGAAATGAATTTGCCCGGGTGTGTAGTTTATTCAATCTTACATTTTATCATAAATCATGTTTCGGCCGATCCGAGGCACTTTTTTTGTTCATGGACATGCATGCGAATATATAATACAAAATCTATAAAATGTTGTTTCAAAAATGTGAGAAAAATTAAAATTATTCAGAGAAAATGGCCGAAGAAAGTCGCTCTTGGTAATTCTGCTGAAGAATGAAATCATTTATACGAAATTCGCCAAAATCAAAATGTAAATATTGAGCTGTTATTGCTAGCGAATGCGAAGATGTACAGTTCAATATTTATAAATTCGATTCAAGTCGAAAGCGTGTGACAAATCGAACACGTGTACAGTGCAAAGACACCAATTACGTAAAAAGTCAAAAGATCGAAGCGAAAAAAACAAATACACACTTCATCAGATGGGAAACAATCCAAGTGCCATTCTAATGTTTTTCCACTCAACATTCGACTATTTTGGTTATTTTCCTGAAGAATATTTACGTTTCAAATCTTTTTTTGATCCTTCTCCTATTTTTGAAATGGCGTTTTATAGATTTATACTCAGTATTTGAATTTAATTTTGTACTATTCATATCTACATTCAGAGTATATGCTGGGTTTGAACGGTATCGGTATTGAGAATGGGAGAATGAGAGTAAGAGAATGAAAGCGCACGCGCTAAAGTTTTTCATTGACGCAGTAAAACACGCTAATTCATCTGAATAAACTCAAAGAGCGAAGATCACATATTTACGATTAGCGTCGATACGATTCACGTGAATGATGCGTTGCATTCGCATTTCTCGTGCAAGCTCTTTCATTCTTTATTTCTTTCGATCATTTCACATTACGGTTGTACTTTATTTGCATTGTTGTTGCATTTTATTGCATTTAGTAAACAATTAAAGTGTAAAAAAAGATGGTACTCGTACTACCACCGATAATCCTTGAACATTAATCGGTTTGAAGAGAGTGTCATTCGTGTTCATGTCCCCTCACGTTATTTACGTTTGCAAATGATGTGGAAATCATATAGAAAAACGTATGAACTAGACAAAGATTCAAATTGTTCGATAAGAGGCAAATCAATTAGTTGCAAAACGAGTCATATTGAATATTGTCCATATTGAGTTTCTTTGTGTTTATTTAGTTCGCACCTTTTTTTTGTGTAGTTGCATCCCTTTTGACAAAATGTTTTTATTTCTATTGAAAAAGTGATACCAAAATGATTCTAATTAAAATATTTTCATATCTATGTGTGTATGCCGCGATGTCTTTTTGTATTTTTTTCGTTCGTAAATAGATTACATTGGAAGACTTGCGACGTCATGATCTCTTGTCAAACAATGATGCAGTACCGAATGTACAGGCGACATCAAACAATGTGAATGGAACGATTGAACCAAGAGGTATATTCGATCCTCGATTGCCACTATACAATTATACAGCCGAAACGGTGAACATGTTGCTTGTACCGATGATTAAGAACAAGAAGGAAGCACTCGGTTCTATGGGTAATGACGCCCCGTTGGCATGTCTGTCACGTTTTCAACCTTTACCATACGAATATTTCAAACAACTATTCGCTCAGGTCACAAATCCACCAATCGATCCATTCAGAGAAAAGATTGTCATGTCATTACAATGTCCAATTGGTCCGGAAGCAAATTTATTACATCCAGCTGCTGAACAAACGCATCGTCTTTGGATTTCGAATCCGATTATAAGCCGTACCGATTTGACAATATTGAAGCGTACAACCTACAAGGGATGGAAATCAAAGGTCATTGACATTACGTTCCCATATTCGGAAGGTGTTGCCGGTTACAGTAATGCATTGCAACGAGTTTGCTTGGAAGGTCAACAGGCTGCCGAAAATAATCAAGTATTAATATTATCGGATCGGAATGCTTCTAAAGATCGTAGCCCATTGTCGGCATTATTAGCAACGGGTGCATTACACCATCATTTGATTGAAACGCGTAATCGAATGCGAGTTGCCTTGGTCGTTGAAACGGCCGAAGTCAGTGAAGTTCATCATGTGTGCGTCATACTTGGATATGGAGCCGATGCCATTTGTCCATATTTGGCATTCGAATTGGCTGGTGCACTGCGGGACGAAGGTGTTCTCGATCAAAGCATCACCGATCAACAAATCTATGCATCTTATGCACAGGTAAGACAAAGACGTATATTTGTTGGGCAAATTAACACGAACTATTCGATTCGTTGATTGAATTTGAATTTATTTTGCATTTGCAGGCTGTCGACACTGGTATTTCAAAAGTGATGGCCAAAATGGGCATCAGTACATTGCAATCGTACAAAAGTGCTCAAATCTTTGAAATTGTTGGATTGGGCACTGAGTTGGTGGAACGCTGTTTCCGTGGCACTCAATCACGCATTGGCGGTGTTACAATGGACATTATTGCCGCTGAAAATTTGTATCGTCATCAAATGGCTTATGGCAAAGATCGTCCCGATCAATACATTCTACGTAATCCGGGTGTTTATCATTGGCGTAACGGTGGCGAAGGTCATATCAATGCACCCGGTTCAATTGCCAGTTTACAAGAGGCAGCCATTAATAATAATAAAAATGCATTTACACAATTCCGTGATCAAACGTTGCAAAGTGTGAAACAGTGCACGTTGAGAGGTCAATTGGAATTTGTTGATGATCGTGAAAAGATTGATATCAATGAAGTTGAATCGGCTGCTGAAATTGTTAAGCGATTTGCAACGGGTGCCATGAGCTTTGGCAGTATTTCACTTGAAGCGCACTCCACATTGGCCATTTCGATGAATCGCATCGGTGGCAAAAGCAACACCGGTGAAGGTGGTGAAAATTCCGACCGATATTTGAGTAAGTTTTTGTGATCAAATGCATTTGAAAAATGAATTTATTCGATTTTTTTGGGTTGCCAACCAAACAGATCAAGATCCACAAAGCAACAAACGATCGGCAATCAAACAAGTTGCATCGGGTCGTTTTGGAGTGACCGCATCTTATTTGGCCAATGCCGATGATTTGCAAATTAAAATGGCACAAGGTGCCAAACCAGGCGAAGGCGGTGAATTGCCAGGATACAAAGTCACCAAAGATATTGCCAAGTAATTATTAACATATCTCTGAAACGAAATGAAGAGAATTCATCATATTAATCTACACTTCAATTTTACAGTGTTCGTCATTCGGTAGCCGGTGTTGGTTTGATTTCACCACCACCACATCACGACATTTATTCGATCGAAGATTTGGCCGAATTGATTTACGATTTGAAATGCGCCAATCCAAGTGCTCGCATTAGTGTTAAACTTGTATCGGAAGTTGGAGTTGGTGTTGTTGCTGCTGGTGTTGCAAAAGTAAGTTCAGTATAATGACAATGACAATGACCGAAAAGTGTCTAATTCTGGAACATTTTGCAGGGAAAAGCTGAGCACATCACAGTATCAGGTCATGATGGTGGTACTGGTGCATCGTCTTGGACGGGCATTAAATCGGCCGGTTTACCATGGGAATTGGGCGTTGCCGAAACACATCAAGTGTTAGTGTTAAATAATCTGCGATCCAGGTAATGTTTCTCGAATTGCTTTTTTTCTTTTTGTTTTGTACCAAACACACATATTTGTCGACCTACATATTAGTTCTAATTTCTCAGTTCGGTAAAAAAATATCATGGCTAAAGTTGTGTTGTATGTGTTGTTCTGGATATACGCTGCGTGCGGTAGACATTTAGTAAACCATTTTTTTCAATATCCATCAATTCATTTTTTTACCCAATTGACCAGTCGAAATTTTTGCTAATCTATTGTGATTTTCTTCATTTCCTCCAATTCGCACGCAAATCGCACATTTTTCAGAATCATTTTACAAGCGGACGGACAATTGAGAACTGGTTTTGATGTTGTTGTGGCCGCACTTTTGGGAGCTGATGAATTCGGCTTCAGTACAGCACCGCTCATTGTTATGGGCTGTACAATGATGCGAAAGTGTCATTTGAATACGTGTCCAGTCGGTATTGCCACACAAGATCCAATATTGAGAGAAAAATTCGCTGGCAAACCAGAGCATGTCATCAATTTCTTCTTTTTATTGGCTGAAGATGTAAGTCAACATTTTGTTTTTCGTCGTCGCAAACAGACGTCTCAGAGTAATAAATGTGTCGAGGAGTGCTCTGAGTAGGTGAAGCAGCACTGGGGAACAAAATATTAAAAATTAAAAAATATCTAAAATCATAATATTTATAGCTCCTCCAGCTTCTCAGAGCATTCCTCCTCACTTATATAGCTCTTCGAAACAGTCTCTAGGGTCAAAATATAAATCAAATCAATAATTAAATAAAAAATTCTTTCCCTCAATCCACTATCGATCGCTTTCTTTTTTAGATTCGTCAAATAATGGCCAATTTGGGTATTCGCAAATTCCAAGATTTAATTGGTCGCACCGATTTGCTTCGTGTGAAAAAAGATTTAGAACAAAAAGAATCGACATTAGATTTTTCTTTGATTCTTAAGAATGCATTGGATCTGCGACCTGGCACCAACATTCGTGGTGGTTCGATCAAACAAGATTTCGGCCTTGAAACACGCGCCGACAATGTGCTTATCGCCAAATCACTTGGCGTCATCAATGGCACCGAAAAACATGTTGACATCGTGTCGGTAATCAACAATGAAGAACGTGCCTACACCAGCACACTCAGCTACACAATTGCATGGTAAGTGGATTAAAACGTTTCGAAACGATGATTGAGCGACGAAACTGTTTTTTATTGAAATATTAAAATGGAAACGCTTTTGATTGACAATAATTTTTTCTCCTCGTTCTGCAGCAAACATGGTGACAGTCTTCCCGATGGAAGAACCATAAATATTTCATTGAAAGGTTCGGCTGGTCAAAGTTTCGGTGCATTTTTGGTGGGCGGTAAGAGCTAGGGGCAAATCACTTAAAAATTACTTACTTATTATGATTGATTGTTTTACGATTATTTTTCGATTATTTGTCGATTATTTTAAATTAATTCTTTTCTTTTGTGATTCTCCCCATAGGTATAACATTAAATTTGGAGGGCGATGCCAACGATTATGTTGGCAAAGGTTTGTGCGGCGGCACAATTATCATTCAACCGCCAAAGGAATCGACATTTGAATCACATTTGAATGTGATTGTCGGTAATGTATGCTTGTACGGTGCTACAAGCGGAAAAGCATTCTTCAGGGGCATTGCCGCCGAGCGATTCTGTGTACGTAATTCGGGTGTAACAGCTGTTGTTGAAGGTGTTGGTGATCATGGTTGTGAATACATGACGGGTGGTACAGTTGTTGTTTTGGGTTTGACTGGTCGAAACTTTGCGGCTGGTATGTCAGGCGGTACTGCCTATGTATATGATATTGATGGTTCATTCCGCGGTAAAACAAATGGTAAGCACCTATTTTTTTAAAAACCGATCGTGATAAATGAATTTTAACATAAAAAATTGAATGTAAATTTTCAGCGGAAACGGTTGATCTATTGTTGTTGGATAAAGAGAAAGACAAAGCGACTGTAAAAGTATTGCTCGAAGAGTTTTTCGAAAATACTGGTTCGCTGATTGCTAAAAAGATTCTATCAACCTGGCCGGCCGAATGTGGAAAATTTGTAAAGGTATTCCCATTCGAGTATCAACGTGCATTGAAAGCAATTGAAGAGGAGCAAGCCCAAAAGTCTGTATCGAAATTTGTGAAACAAAACAGTGCCATTGCATTGTCAAATGGTCGTGCCGAGCCGTCAATCCAAGATATCGAAGAAGCGATCCGTGATGAAAAGCTTACCGAAAAATTGGCCGAAAAAGTGTTGGACAAAACACACGGCTTCATCAAATACAAACGGGAAAAGGGCATGTATCGTGATCCAGAAGAGCGTCAAAAGGACTACGATGAAATTTACAATTTCAAGCATGTGCGCAAAGGATTGAAAACACAAGCGGCACGCTGTATGGACTGTGGCATTCCATTTTGTCAATCAAATGTGCACGGTTGTCCGCTTGGTAATATCATTCCAAAATGGAACGATTTAATATTCCACGGTTCATGGAAAGAGGCTCTCGAACAATTGTTGCAAACAAATAATTTCCCTGAGTTTACTGGACGCGTTTGCCCCGCACCATGCGAAGGTTCCTGTGTTCTTGGCATTTCCGAATTACCGGTCACAATTAAGAACATTGAATGTGCGATCATCGATCATGCATACGAACAAGGATGGATCACTCCAAAGGTAAATTACGGCATTTTTTATCGTTTTTTATCACACTCATTTTTATACAAATGTTCTCTCCGCACTGGTTGGAATAGATTCCAGAAGTTCGTACAGGTAAAAAGGTGGCAATTATCGGTTCTGGACCATCCGGATTGGCAGCCGCTGCACAACTAAATAAAGCTGGTCATACTGTTACGGTTTATGAGCGTAACGATCGTGTTGGTGGCCTACTTCAGTATGGCATTCCAACAATGAAATTGTCGAAAGAAGTGGTTAAGCGGCGCGTTGATTTGCTTGCCGCCGAAGGAATTACATTCAAAACAAATTGCTTTATTGGCAAAGATGTGCCAGCCGATGATTTAGTTAAAGATAATGATGCGGTTTTATTAACAACCGGCGCAACATGGCCACGTGATTTACAATTACCGAAACGTGATTTGAATGGCATTCATTTTGCCATGGAATTTTTGGAATCGGGACAAAAGAAACAGTTGGGCGGTACCAAAGAAAACATTTTGGCAACTGATAAAGATGTTTTAGTCATTGGTGGCGGTGATACAGGCTGTGATTGTATTGCAACATCGTTGAGACAAGGTGTAAGTATTACGATGATTTAAATTGATTTGAGAATGTTTAGTTTGATACGGATTTTTTCATTTGAATAGGCCAAATCGATTACATCGTTTGAAATTTTACCAACACCACCACCAAGTCGGGCCGGTGATAATCCATGGCCACAATGGCCAAAAGTGTTCCGTGTTGATTATGGACACGATGAAGTCAAAGGTGAGTGGATACGAATGAGTCAATAGTCTTAGTCAATAATGATACCGATTTTTTACATTATTTTTTTTTAATCAATGCAGTTAAATTTGGCAAAGATCCACGTCAATACAGTACAACGACAAAAGAGTTCGTTGACGATGGCAAGGGTAATATTAAGGTATGCTTAGAAAAATAAATTTTATTACATTATTTTATATATAAACAATTTTATATGCTTATGACATTTAACTACAAATCATTTTTATTATGTTACACATTAAGGGTGTGAATACTATTCAAGTCGAATGGACCCAAAGTCCGACTGGACAGTGGAGCATGAAGGAAGTTCCAGGTTCAGAAAAATACTATGCCGCCGATTTGATACTGTTGGCAATGGGTTTCTTGGGCCCAGAAAAAACCGTTCCAAATGAGCTCGGACTAGATCTCGATAATCGTGGTAACGTTAAAGCGGTCAATGGACAATACGGTTCATCTCGACCAGGCATCTTCGCTGCTGGAGGTAATTTTTCGTTCGCACCACCGTTTTCCTTATTTCATTTCATTCAATATATTGAATTGGTAATTTTTTGTGTGTGCGTGCACTCTTCCAGATTGTCGAAGAGGTCAATCGTTGGTCGTTTGGGCCATATCAGAAGGACGACAAGCAGCTCGACAAATTGACGCATACTTAGGTGGAAAACAACAGAGTAAATTACCCGGTCCGGGTGGTGTCATCGACTTCTGGTCAACGACTTCAGCCGCATAAACACTGCAACACAGTCAATTCTATATACAAAAAAAAATAAAGATACAAATAAATTGTATACACCATACAAAGAAAACAAACAAAACAAGAAAAAATATTATTTTATTCTAAAGATAATAATTTGCTAGTGAAAGTGGATCATCAGGGATGAAGAGTTTTACGTGAAATTTGGACTTATAATTTCGTTTGTGATATTTTTATAAGGAAAATCCCGCACCCTCTCTTTCACGTGTTTATTTTGTAAACCATAATTGCATCTTTTGTATCATTAAACTTTCATTTATTATCTGTTCTTTTTTGAAGTCGTAGTTTTTTCGTGTATTTTTTCTTCTTCTTTTCTCGATCGTTTATTATTTTGAAATAAATTCAAATGCATGACATTTGTTTATTGATTTTTTTTTGATTGAGTGCCGATAATTTTTACGGAGTTCAGGTCGCAATGGACATTTGCCATCTGTTGCCCGGAACATACATATTCATATTTTTTTCATATGGGAATTTATGTAATACGTTTATTATGACACTAAAACATCCACACATTTCATTTTTCGAAATGTTTATGCGCGTGATTGGCAAACAAAGCATACAGGCTATAGTAAATTCGAACGAAAAATAATGAAATTTAAACTAATTTAAAATATATTACATGTTGGGATATATAATGGCGAAGCCATAAAACTTATATATATATAATGAAATGTATCCACACAAGATAAAAAAAAAAATAAAAAAGAGAAAGAAACAAAAAATAACTTAAATTCGGTTTGAAAGGCAAAACCGATGAAATTGCTTCAATTTTAGTGTCAATATAGCAAAAATTAAAAGGCATATATTTCAATAAAAATAACAAAAAAAAAAAAAACAACATAAAAAGAGAAAAAATCAAAAGCTCTTCACACACACCTATACAGAAAAAAAACCTTGCGTGTTGTGTGACTGAGTGAAAGAAAAAGTTTACCATAAAAAAAGAACACAACAAATTTTCATTAAATGTACATTTATTAATTGTTACAAATTTTAAAGTGAAAAAATAATTACTACATACGTCTAAGTTCTCAGTGAAACGAAATCGGAAACAAACATATTAAACACAAATATTTAAACAAAAATGTGAACAAATGAAAATTCAGATTGGTTTCAAATGAAATAAATGTCAATTCAAATTGATGTCAAATTTTTTCCATTTTTTGAATTTTATTTTTTTATTATGTTTTTTAAACAAATTTCGAGACAAATTATTCAAATACTGATACTTATATGGAATTTTATTAACTAATTTCAACATATGAGATAATATTCCGAAATTAAAACAGCAATTCACTTTTTATCATAAACATGCTTTAAACAATCCGAACCATCGATACACAGTAGAAGGACAGCAGCAGCTCCATAAAATGCGCAATTTTGGTTTTGATCTAAATGTAAAAATCAAAGCTTTTCCTTTGCACATAAATCACAATCCATTTTAGTTTTACACTTGTACATTGCTCATTGCTCGAAATTCGGTTTATTTCTTTTGTAAATGTTCAATTTAGGTTCTAACACTAGATCTCATAAATTGTTTAGAAAAAAGTTACTCGATTTTCAGACACGAATTCAAGTAAATTTTAATTGCATTTTTTTCGGTCAAACTTTTGTTTTAGTCAAATTGCCTTTTTTGTCAATCGCTTTTATGCCTACATGTTAAATCACGTGAAAAAGATAATAATAGCATTTAAAACAAAATGAGACTTGAACGAAATGGGAACAACCAACATAAAAAAAAATTGTTTCTACCGAAGCAGGCGTTGATATAAAACCAAACCGCAAAGATTCTATATAAATGGTGGTAAAATAGATTGACACTCTTAGAATGAATCTTGCAATGTTTCGTTTTCAATTTTGTCTGTGTTTTCAGTGGTATGTACACAAAAAAATGGTATATGAGATTGACTCAAAATGCTATAGAAGTGAAAAAAAAAATTATGATAAAGAAAGGAAAAACGAAAACCTTAATTGAAACATTTGATAAACTTTTTCGCTGATTGATACCTTTATCTTGTAAACAGTGTAAACACAATTATTATATATACATCGAGAAATAAACACTTTGATGGACAATACTTAGAACACATACAATTTACGTGTTTATTGAAGAATTTCTTATTCATTTTTTTTTTGTTCAACTTTTGGAAACATATTCACCGTTAAAAAAAAGCTAAGCCATTGTAACGAATGCAAAACTGAGATCGAAATTATTCTACTTGCGAAGTATATTAATTGACATTCACCTGTATACTTGTTGTTCTGAATAAAAAATTAAAAAAATAAATAAAATTGCTTTATCTTTACCGAGTATCACTTGCGTTGTATATTTACAATGTATTTGAACGCGACTCGATTTAAGAAGCGCCATCTCTGTCACGTCAGGTTCTCATATATTTTTTTCTTGCAAATAAAATTGCAAAATTGTATAAATTGAATAAGTTTTGCAATAATAATAACGAAAATAATTAATAGAATTTATAATAAATAAAAAAATTGAAAAAAAAACACAAATATTTTATATTATATGGTTCTCGTATTATGAGGAAGCTTTGCCAGCAACACTGAAAATTTCTATCGCTTCTGTCGCTAGTACAGCGTTTAATGCACCACAAATTCGAACCACGTCAGCCAATAATCACAATAATACCGATAGTTCACTAGAAAAATATTCACTTCGTGTTGTTTACGTTGTTTCTTTTGGCAGATATCAATGTTTGATATATATAAAAACGAACACCCAAGTGTATAGAGTTTCTCTTTGGTTTGCATTGGGACTCAGAGATGGCGCTCGCAAAATCCGATCGCCTTGAAAGCCGACTGTAAGTGACAGTAGATCTTTACTTTCTGACAAACACTCTTATACACTTTGTACCAGAGTCTGATTGAAATTTGGAGATCATCGCCTTCAAAGTGTTTAGTCCGATATCCAATATTTATTTGAAAAATATTAGCATCCTGAGATTGAAAGCCGACAAATGTTCCACCATTAGAGTTGGAGCAAGAATTAAATTCATTTTTAGCAGTAGCAGTAGCTGAGACCAATTTTAAAATCTATTGTGCCGGTTTATATAATTCCCTTTCTAATATAAACCTTGAACATTGAAGTGGCACTTTTGGGTAGCTTCACGGAACGCAGAAACACTAAAGTGCAGAAAAATAAATGCAGAAAAAAAAAACGCAGAAAATAAAAACGCAGAAATCAAAAATGCAGAAAAAACGCAGAAATATGTAAAATAGATAGATAAACCGTGATGGTTGACCTTAATAGCAGTGTTAAATGTTGTTTCACTGAGATGGAAATGTCAGTCGAGATCTCATTTTAAGTTTCTAGGATCTTTTAAACAAAAATGTTTTTGTTCAGTCTATCAAAAAAAGGAACCTCTGTCCAGGTCGGATTCACATGATATTATAGAACAAACTGCATGTATATGTGAGAGTGAGATGAAATGAACTGGAATTTAGTCTTGTGGAGCAGGTCCCATCGAAAAAGCGAGAAAAATCGATTTTCCGATTTCCATTTTAGTTCAATATTCGTTTGACTTTGTTATTATACATATTCTGTATAATTTATGTAGGAACGATACAGAAACCTAATAAATCCATTTTTTATACAGAATATGTAAACCTATTAAAAGAATTTTTTTCTGTGTGTTCTTTTAAACATTTTTTATAAAAGTTAAAGTAGAGAAGACATTAAAAATTGTTTTTGAAACTATTTTTTTTTATAAATATGAAAAATAAAAGGTAAAAATAAAGAAAATCGAACATCTTTTTCTAATGGCCAATATATTTTCTAACATAATTTAAGAAAATACAGAAGATAATCTATGTAAAATACCATTTTATCCGCAACACATTTCGTTTGCAGGTAAAATTTCATTTTGCATTGATTTAAGTGTTAATCCCGATGGGAACTAGTATCGTATATTCCCCATACAAATTAATTTTATTGATTCTACGAATACGACATCTGTTAAAAAAGATACCGATTTTTGTTACTACTGTTGCTTTGACACAGCTCGATTGAACTATACGGCTATGGCTGTATTACAGACGAACTAATACAAAACAACACACAGACTCCGATCCTGTGTATGAGTATGTATTGTAAATTTTGCACAAGCAGCTACGATTGACGACTGAGTGCAGAATTTGTAATTCAATACGCATACACAGAATCGGAGTCAGTGTGTTCCTTTGTACGTTTACACGAGCTGTATTAAAACACCACTAGTAACAGAAATCGGCGAGTTTTTTAGTAGATGTCGTATTGGTGGAATCGATAAAGAAAAATCTACGATATTAGTGCTCATTGGTTAATCCAAATTTATTTGAAATAAAGAAATGGACTAATCTAATTTTTGCTTATACAAATTCGATCCATCTATCGCACGATGCATTTGCAAGTACTTACGTTGAGCTTGTGATTTTGATATTAAATGTTTGGTAAGTGAGCTTAGACAGTTTCGCAAATATGGCCTACAGATATTGTGTAAATAACAAAATGAATCTAAGCTTACTTATCACGAAAATTTGTTTAATTATCATAACGCAAATAAACGTGAGTTTACTGCCTATAAATATTATTGATAATATGATTTGATAGCAAAAATGTATAAAAGTAAAACGTGATAAGTAAAGGATTCAGTCCATTTTCGAATCAAAAAGTTTATACATTGTTCTTAACTATAGTTACTAATACTGTGCTCATTTCTCCATTCAAGTTCTGTCTACTGCTTTTTTATTTAAAAAACGCAGGTAATTCTTTTACTAGACTTAAGAAGCGTAGACAATTTGGTCATAGCTTAGAATAGTTTGAACATTTCATTTCTTTCGTTTAACATTCCGTCCTGGAATTCGAGCACAAATCGTATACATTTTGTAAATAATTTTTGGTACTTCAGTGAAACTTAAATATGAAACCGTTAAATAGCAATAGAATTCGACTAATATCACAAAAACTATATTCTGTATAATTTTCAAATCGATTCGAATGTGCACATTTTAAACAGTTATCGAAAATAATAGGAATTGAATTCGGAAGACTAGAGTACCACGAACATAGAAAAAACCAAAATATATATAACTTTCTTGAGAAATTCTTATAATTCGATATATTTCTGATAAAAAAAAGTCTTTTTGGTAGTGTACTTTTCAATTTTGTAATTTTTTGGAATCGATTAAAAAAACTCTGGAAATTCCTATGACAAAAAGTGGGTTAACACCAATCATTAAAGACCACAACGGGAAAATTTTTGTCCTACTGTTAAAAGACTCTTTATTTCTAATCAATTTATTACCTTTGCAAAGGTAGAAAATCACGTTTATTTTAAAATGTGACTTGAGAAAACAAAGCGATAAAAAATCTATTACAATTACAGATAAGAAAATCATATAACTTTATGACAAAAACATGAAAATAGTTGTAGTGCAAATATGTAAAACTAAGTTGGACATAATCATATGCGCAAAAAAAAATTGAATATACTTTATCGGTCAATGATGAATATTTGTCGAATCTTCCATCTGATACTGTTTCTTCTATGTCTTTTTTGAAATATAACTTTTATCTAATTTGGACTTTTTGCTAAATGCTTATCAACTTTTACAATTACAGATTTTATTTGTGAAATTCAGCATAGTTTCTAATAAATTAAAAAACGTAATTATGCAACGTAAAATGAAGAACCCAGCCAATGATGAAATCTCCCATTCCGACGGTACATTAGTCCGCAGCCTCACAACACGTGCTCAGCGTGAAATCTTTCTGTTGGAACAAGCTCAATCTGGAGTCCGCTGCAGCGTTTGGTTTTCTCAGCTTATTTGTGGTCCATTGGATTTGGACGTTCTTGCGAATGTTCTCAAACAACTTACTCTGAAAGTGCCTCTATTGCAAACCCGTTTCGCTTTCTCAGATGGAGAACTCTGGCAAATTCACGATCCCAGCATTTGCCCAACTATAAGAACTATTGACGTTAGTTCTAGTTCCGTGCCTTTCGAAGAGGCATTGAAAAGAATGCGGGAATCCGCTGAAAATCGTCTCAGCCTTACAACTGGCGATAAATTATATGAGTTCACGTTCTATATCGTGGACAATAATACGCATATAGTTCATTTCTTGCTTCATCACAGCATTATTGATGGAAGATCTAGTGCTAAATTAGTATCCATGATCACAGCTGCATATAATGATTTGATACAAGGAAAACCAATCATTGTGCGTCCAGAGTTGCATTTTGGAGCTATTGCTGGTACAGATGCAAAGTATCAATCATCACCCGAGCATCAACAAGATGAAAAATTCTGGAAAACATATGTTCAATCATTGTGCCGCCATGCTTACACGCAACGAAACATCAATCCTTTCGGGAACAAAACAACCAATCGTTGCACGCATACACTACGTGCTAGTGAACGCCAAAAGCTAAAGCAGACAGCTGCATCGATGAATGTTGTAGAATCCATTCTTTATATTGGCGTTTCGGCGTTACTATTTCGCAGTCACTTAGACAATGAATGTGTCAGCCTCAGTTTACCGGTCAGCGGTACTCATATGATTCAAGAGCTAGGTATGACAGCCAATCTCCTACCATTATTATTGCGTATTCCTGAGCATGCTACGTTTAAAGATGTCCTAAATCATGTAAATCAAGAAACTAAATCAATTCTTCTACATCAACGCTACAGAGTCACTGAAATTCGGCGACACGCAAACTATAGCACAAACATCAGTTTTGGTCCTTCCGTCAATATAATGCTCTTAAATCAAGAAGAGACATTGGAAAATTGTATCTGTTCCAATCATTCAGGCGCCAATATTGATACCAATGAATTTCAAATAACATTTTGTACAGATCATTCAAACGGTCACCTTGACATTTTCTTTGATGATATTGAAGAAGGGCATTCAAAAGAACAATTAATTGCATTGAAAGATCGTTTAATCTTTATATTAGATCTTATTGTAAACTCACCGAATAGTACAGTTAGTGCACTTGATGCTCTCGACGGGTATCACACCATCACAAGTGTAGAGGAGATTGAAAGCTTTTATGCAAATCGACGTACGCCCGTTGCAGCTGGATTTTTGCAATGGGGTCGTTGTGTCGATTCTCTAGTGCGCCTTGTACATTCTAATATATGGGTTGGAAGTGGTCCCAGTCCCTTTGCCACCTCAAAAATTCTTCTGACCGATCGTGTAGTTAACATCAGTAAACTGAAGCGCGGAACCATTTATAGACCATCAGAAGCACCAGGGACATTGTTGGTGATTGGAAAAACTACTTGGCACATCGCTGTTTCAGACGGAGTGGTTGAAATAAGTGAATTCATCGATGAGGATGGCCAGCCCATCTCGGCTCCAACACTTGCAAAACAATGCCATCTCCTAGAAGGCGACAAGCTTCCAATAATCACGGCAGAACAAGCCGAGTGGTTAAGCGTGTCACGTGCACGGTCAATGCATTCTGAGTCGTACTGGAATCGGTGTCTTGCCAACTTTGAGCCATGTACTCTTTCAATAATACAAAATTGCTCCACTCATCCACCAATGTGGGTCGCAACCAATTTTCGAAGTCTATCATCGGGGTACAGTGCAACTGAGCTACTTGTTGCATGGCTTGTTTATATTGCCCGAGACAGGCAAATGTCACAACTACAAATCGGATGGGATGCCACAGAATCAATCAATCGATATGCAGACGACAATCAGTTAGCAACATACATATTTGCTAAGACTGTACCATTTTCCGTGTCCATCCATTTGTGTGACACTTTTCCAGCGGTTATGGCCAGTGTGAATAAGAATTTAAAGCAATTAATCAATAATTTACCATGCTTGTCCGATTTACATGTCAGACACACCATATGTTCTTCAAACAATTTACGCAGCAAAAAACCCTGGGCCCTGGCTATCTCGCTTATCAACACCCAGAACCTACTTTCATTGGAAAATACAGATGCTCACGGCAGTTTTCTAACACTTCAAATTAACAAATATAACGGTACCTTCCGTTGGATATACGACACCAATCAGATATCAGATGAAGAGGTCAACCGCATTTCGTCGCGTATGTTAGTTTTACTTACATCTGCTCATAGCACAGACCAAGCACAAATGCCAGTCGGTGAACTGGATTTGCTACCCAAAACTGAGCTCGAACTGTTACTCAATGTTGGTAATCAAACAGACACAAATTATCCAGCTAAAAACGGCATACATCTCAGCCGCGCAACAGTGGCCAACTCTAAACGTCTTTGCTGTCATGAGATATTTGAAGCACAAGTGGAGCAAAACGAACATGCGATTGCCGTTGAATGTGAAGAAGAAACATTGAGCTATACAGAACTTAACGCCCGGGCAAATCGTCTGGCACATTACTTGATTACAAAAGGCGTCAAGCCTGATGATCTGATCGCAGTTTGTGTTAAGCGTAGCACGAAAATGCTCGTCGCCATATTAGGCATTCTAAAGTCCGGTGGAGCTTATGTACCGCTTGACCCGGTGTACTCTAGCCAACGGCTAATAAATATTCTGGAAGATGCTGATCCATTGTATGTACTAGTGGATGCTACGGGTCAGAAAGCACTTGGGCATCATCAAGTAACAGTAGTGGACTTAGATCAATCGTTGCCTGGCGGCCTTTCACCAATCAATCCTGACTCAAAAAAACTGGGCCTAACTCCGGCTCACCTGGCCTATGTGATTTACACGTCTGGCTCCACTGGAAAACCGAAAGGAGTGATGATCGAACATCAACAAGTGACCCGTCTTTTTGAAGTGACACGCGATAAATTCGCATTCAATAAACAGGACAAATGGTGTTTATTCCATTCATTCTCGTTTGATGTTTCCGTTTGGGAGATATGGGGAGCATTAAGTAATGGAAGTCAATTGGCGATTGTGCCCCACGAAACTGGCCGTTGTGCCGATGAATTTTATAAATGGGTCTGTAATCATGGCATAACCGTTCTGAATCAAACTCCATCCGCCTTTAAAATGTTTATGCAGGCGAAAAATATCAGTTCACTTTCTGATCGACTGCGCTATGTGATCTTTGCCGGTGAGGAGTTTGACCAATCGATCGCAAAAAATTGGCACAAAAAGTACTATAATGCTCAAACAGAGCTCGTCAATATGTATGGTACTACGGAAACAACAGTGCATGCCACCTACCAACTTCTGAAAGCTTCAGAATACATTCATTCAATTGGACGACCAATTGCGGATCTTTGCGCTTATTTGCTGGATACTCACGGCGAACCGGTGCCATTTGGAGCCGAAGGCGAATTATATATTGGAGGTGCTGGATTGGCTCGAGGATACTTGAATAGACCTGAACTTACTGCTGAACGTTTTGTGCCCAATCCATTCAGTGAGAATACGTTAGCACGCATGTACCGCACTGGTGATTGGGTACGCTATTTACCTGATGGTAATCTCGTATATCTGGGACGTATTGATCAACAGGTTAAAATTCGTGGTTTCCGAATTGAACTCGGTGAAATTGAAACCCATCTAATGGAACATAATTTGGTTCGCGATGCTGTTGTATTGTCATGGAAAAACAAGAGTAATACTGATGCTCAACTAGTTGCTTATGTCGTGGCTGATCCAGATGCATCACTCGTTCAACATTTACGCCGTTATCTATCAGCTTTGTTGCCTGATTATATGGTGCCAGCAGCGTATGTGTGTGTGTCCTCCTTGCCGCTCACACCCAATGGCAAATTGGATCGATGTGCTTTGCCGCCCCCCAATGATGATGCCTTCGTTCGTCAAGCATATGAAGCCCCACAAGGTGAAATTGAGGCTAGATTCGCTTCTATTTGGTCTGATCTTTTGGGCATTGATCGCATCAGTCGGCATGATAATTTCTTTGAGCTGGGTGGCCACTCACTGCTGGCAATACAATTTGCCAACCAAGCTAGTAAGGTCTATAATATGTGTGTTGAAGCTCGTGGTCTGTTTTCCTTTCCCATTCTAAAAGATTTAGCAGAAAAAACAACATCCTGCGGCTCTCAGAGACTATATAGTGATTCTGCTATTCCAGTTCGTCGCTTTGGCTGTCGACCACCTATATTCCTATTACCTGACGGCACCGGGGATACCTCATATGCATTTGAATTGGCGCCTGAAATTGATAAAAGTTTCCCTGTTTTTGTGTTACCTTGGCCATCGCCAGAAAAAGAACAGCCATCGTGCGTTCAAGAAATGGCCAGTACAATGATCCCTCTGATAAAGAAAATACAACCCAATGGCCCGTGCGCAATTGCCGGCTACTCTGCTGGTGGTATTCTAGCTTATGAAGTAGCAAATCAACTCATAAATAGTGGTTATTCTGTTTCGTTTTTGGGTTTGATTGACACATATCCACCCACCGAAGTGAATGTATTTAACGATCTCGAATGCTTTTTATTTATTTTAGCATCAAAATATCCGTCTATGAGAGCATTAGATGATGCAGTGTGGTGGGAACGTGTCAAAAAATTAACTTTCAATGAAGCAATTGAAGAGATCGAAAGACGTTGTGACGATTTTAAAATTCCCGATATCGAATGGGAAGTAATATTATCCAAACAACGAACACATTATCAAAATATATGCACTGAATATGAGTTCAATTCATTGCCAATTACAATCAACCTATTCAAAGGAACGGAATATATTGATTTGGCCATTTTCAGTGATAATAAGTACTTGGACGATCTTCTTCGAAAATTCGTAAATAATTCAAAAGAATTTTATAATCATGCAAATCTTGATTGGAAAAATTATCATCTTCCAAGCTTGTGCATCATTCCCATAGAAGGTGACCATAGAACGATTTTGTCAGACCGGAAGAGTCGGGCTTCTTTGGGAAGAAAAATAACGCAAGCGTTTCTTAGTCAAGAAAGTATTAAAACCACATAAAGCATGAATCATCAAACACAAATCTCAGTTGCATCATCAACTGCTACTATTATTCAATATATAGACAAATTTATCGATTATAATAACAATAATTGTGAAAATTTATTTACAAATAAATTGGATTGAAGCATATTTGATTAGGTTAGAAATTCTAATGGAACCCATCATTTTTTTAGAATGCGATTGTACATATTTTAGTTCATGTCGGGGTTTTAATCTAACTTAATGCTTTCCGTTATTGCAAATACGAGGGTAACTATTTAAGTTGGAATAATATTGTATTTCTGGTGTTGCCAGATGCAAAGCATTGTCATATTCGTAAAGTGTGACATTTTTCATGACCATACGACTTAACAGGACGAATTTTAGTTTTGTGGTGTGGCTACGGCTTAAACATGACACCCCGAAGAATTCACTTTTTTTGAATATGCACCTAATTTCAACTACGAAAAATATATTGTATTCAACTGATTATGGTCTGTGGTGGACAAGAGGGTCACGGATTATCATACACGGAGTATGGTGCATCTATCGATCTTTTGGGTGGTCAAATAGTCGACTGTTTGATGGGCTTCTTTTTGGCATGTTTTGGGATTATAAGTTTCAGAGTTTTGGTTTCCATATTCCCGTGATTACTTTTGACAATCAAATGGTTGTGTACTATTCAGCATTGAAGGACCTTTCATCCTCTAAAGGCATGGTCTAGGGGCTTTCATCATTCGTTCATACAAATTTATACACAATATTCACGTCCTATTCATCATATATACGATTAAAATTTCTCGCCTATACCAGTGAATAAGATGTATTTCAAACTTCAGTGTACACACACACACAGTATTGCTACACAGAATCGAAGAAGATCCGCACAAAAGAGAATGAAATAACATGCCATAGACGAAATATACACGAAATATACACGAAATATACACCAAATATATGCAGTTATGCACATTTATTTGCGCGTATTACAGATGATTTTGCAATATAGTTCACTATTTACAGTATAAATCGTATACATTTGAAGATAAAAGCCCCTAGGGCATGGTAGCAACATGACCCATAACACTGTAAAATAATGAGGTCCGATTTTCCCTATCACTTCACAAAGGATCAACTTTTGTTCGATTGTGTTCATGTTTGAAGACTCAGAGAGTCGACCAAGTTTTTGTTTCAGGTCCAAACTACAGGAATCGTGTCTTGGCTTCTAATGCGTTCGTATATACGTGTTTTTATGATCCTTTGTCAAATTGGTTATAATTTTTTGGATGTGATTAAAATCAATCGATTTTTGAGCAACTGTGGGTTGACACGATAAGATTTATTTTTTTCATGTTGTAATTCATGGAAGAACCAAATGATTGGAGTGGAATTAATCCTTGGGCATACCACAATTGAATGGCTGAGAAAAATCATGACTCAAATACTATGCACAATGCACATAGAAGATAGAAACTTGAATAATGCTATGCGGACAACGAATCGAAAAATTTGAACACGCAAGAGTGAAACAATTCAAAAATCCAAATGTTCTTTTTTCAATATTCTGTCTTTAATATTTTTTGAACAAGTTTCATTGTTGTGTGCTTCTTGATCGCATTATATTTTTTTACTCTTGTGTGCAATATACTCAGTCTCCGAGAGTTTCATATAAACTCTCCTTGTAATAGCCAAATAACGCCTATCGATTCAATCACGATTGGTATTCGCTTACTATTCAATAGGCATCACATGGCAAGTTTATATGAAACTCTCAGAGACTCGATATAGAGCACTCCCAAAGTGAAAAAAAATCAGACCGTGATTTGGACGTACCGAAATTATGCCCAAACTGTCACGCTACGATGGGATTCAGTGAACCAGATGTATACAGTGGCAAGGCATGGTACTTCCTTCCCATACCCCGACTTGAGTCGGAAGTAATACTGTTGAGCAGAGAGCTCTTTTTGAAAACTTATGACAAATAAACTTTTTTGTAAATTTCATTTTTTTGCGAAGTTGACCTTTTCCTACTGACACCGTAGCCACACCACAAAACTAAAATTCGTCCTGTTAAGACGAATGGTCATGAAAAATGTTACACTTTACGAATATGACAATGCTTTGCATCTGGCAACACCAGAAGTACAATATTATTCGAACTTAAATAGTTACCCTCGTAAACACCCAATTTTTGACACCCTTTGGAATTTTTCGTAATTTATTTTGCTGATTACTAATGATCGTGTCTAAACCTATTGTTTTAGTTCAAATTTGGATGACCATAAAAATCACCAAAAATCATTTTTTGCTTGAGCAACCCGGTTTTCGGTACTTGATGACAATTTTGAAGGGTTTGAGCATTTAAATTGGGAATACGACCGTACTTTTTTCTTTCTCTAGAATCTTTGTCTTCATACTAAGTACATGAAACACAATACATGGTTCGAAGGCAGATGGGTTCATCTTTAGACACATGCAAAATTTGTTTTGAACTTGGCCACCAACACCATTTGAAGGTGCGTGTCATCAGCGCCACCCTGGAATTGTGCTGGTAAACCAATATATGTAAAAAATCGTGCTCGAATTGTGCTGGCGAATGCAATTGCTCCCAGGAATTGTGCTCATCTGAGTGACGAGCACAATTCGTCCAAAGTCGAAAAAATGTTGACAAAATAGTTTCTTATTTATGTAAAAAAGGGAAATAACCTTATTTATATACTGAATGCATTTCGGTTTCAACTGAGAAACCATCATCAGCGAGCGTCAAAATTATTAAAAATTCTATAGTTTCTTATTTTTTTAACCCTCGGTTAGGCACATGTCTGAATAGTCACATTCATACCACATGAGTCTGGCCAGACCCACATACATTTTCATGTATTTTTATTTGACTAAAATCTCAATGCAAACAACTGAAAAGGGTTGCTATATATTCTTTGATCCTTCTTTTATGCTCTGTCAAAAAAATTGAACAATTGGTTTACATGTGGCGCTGGTGAGAGGTCCCATATAATTCATTTGCGGAGTAGTTTTGACGATGGCGGGACTGT